TATATATATATATATATATATCATCGCCACGATATGTATTGCCATATCACCCAGCCCTAACATGCAGTAATGCTTTAAACACATTTGACAAGCTAGTTGATAAAAAACAACAACTATTAACTATTAAAACTGATTGGCTAACGCTATTTTTCCCCTTGTCAGTGCTCTTTTATTCTTTCACGTTAACTGACAGCAAATCTGAATGATGCACTATTTTAACTTTAATCAACAGGTACAATTGACCATGACATCCTCACCTTATCTTATTCCAGAAAAGTCACTCACCCAGAGCTGAATGGAGTTGTACAGCAGCAGCTCACGTGATGAATGTTGGGGTTGGGGGAGGGGGTGTGTCTGAACTATATCAGCACCCTGATAAAGAGGTTGACTGGCATGAAGTATTTTATGTATTTTGAAAATACAAAAATACTAATCTTAAATGTATTTAAATACAAATTACATTTGATTTTTACCGAAGGCTTTAAAATACAAAATGGTATATTGTATTTCAAATACGGATATTTAAATCCATGTATCTGAAATCCTGCCCATCCCTGAGTGTGTTCCCTGGGAATTGAACCCATGCCCTTTTGCGCTGCTATTGTAATGCTCTACCACTGAGCCACAGGAAGTAACAGTAAAGATTTTTACAAATGATTTCTATTTCAAATAAATTCTGTTCTTTTGAACGTTCTATTCATCTAAGAAAAAAATGATTAAGGTTTCAACAAAAAATGCAGTTTTCAGCATGACTAATACTAAGAAATGTTTCTTGAGCAGCAAATTAGCATATTAGAATGATTTCTGAATAATCATGTGACAATGACGACTGGAGTAATGGCTGCTGAAAATTCAGTTTTGCATTACAGGAATAAAATAAATTTTAGAATATATTAAAACAGAAAACGGTTATTTTAAAGTGTAGTAATATTTCACAATATTCGTGTTTTTATTGTATTCTTGATCAAATAACGCAGCCTTGGTGAGCATTAGAGACTTCTTTCAAAAACATAAATCTTACCGACCCCAAACTTTTGAACAGTAGTGTAGGTTCATATTTCAAGGAACCAATGCTACAACACTTATGTTTATCATACCTGTGGTGCTAATTTGTTCCATTGAGCATATTTGTGGTCTCCAAGAATAGTGCAGGTCAAAGCAAGAGCCATGTGCACGCGAAGTTGGTTTTTCACACCTAAAACACACATTGGTTCTGGTCATCATGCTTAAATGTCTTCTTTTACATAAATCAAAACACGATGTTACATTATATATATGGGTAAACCTAGCAACATTTACAATAATTAGCAAATATAGGGCACAGTTAGGAGTCAGGTACGGTTTTCACATGTCATGGTCAGTCAATACCTGTGACAGGCTGCAGTTCCACCAAGCTGCAGCCACTGGTGCTGTCCAGAACCCGATACTGCGTGACTGCACTGTGTGCCTGTCGATGAGCTCTTACCCGGGTCACTCCATCTCCCTCCTCACTCACTTTGAACAATGGGCTCAGACCCATCTGAGCAGAATAAACATACATACATACTTTAATTCTAGTAAAGTAAGAAAACTGGAGGAGATCCAATTCTTAAAAATCTGTTTTCTAAATGCATTATACTTATCTTATTGTGAACAATTCATGCTCACCAATGGATGCTCTTGCAGTGAATGGGCGCCGTCAGAATGAGCATCCAATTGGCTGATAAAAACATCACAATAATCCATAAATAATCCACATTACTCCCTTCCAAACCTTATGTAAAGTGAAAAGCTGTGTGTTTGTGAGGTGTTCTAACGTAAAGGGGGAAGTCGTGACCTAATGGTTAGAGAGTCAGGACTCATGACCCAAAGGTTGTGGGTTCGAGTCTCGTACTGGCAGGGATTGTAGGTGGGGGGAGTGAATGTACAGTGCTCTCTCCCACCTTCAATACCACGACTGAGGTGCCCTTGAGCAAGGCACTGCTCCCCGGGTGCCGCAGCAAAAAATGGCTGCCCACTGCGCCAGGTGTGTGTGTGTGTGTTCACTGCTGTGTGTGTGCACTTAGGATGGGATAAATGCAGAGCACTAATTCCAAGTATGGGTCACCATACTTGGCCACATGTCACCTCACTTAAACATCACTGGTCAAAAGTCTATGATCCATAATAACACTTCCTCCAGGAAAACAGTCCATCCTCTGTTGTCCTTTAGAGCTGTTTTGGACTGTTTTCACTTGTAAATAGTGTTTGATCTATGCATATTCCTCTCCTGAGTCAGATGAGACAACTTTTTCAACGGAGAAAACAATATGATGAAGGACTTGTTTGAAGTTAAAAGCATCTCAATGATGGATTTCTTTCTTACAAACATGCAGCTTTTCACTTTACAAGATGTTAAGTGATGGACGGGAGTCTTGTGGATTGCTGTGATGTTTTAATCAGCTGTTTGGACTCTCATTCTGACGGCACCCATTCACTGAAGAGGATCTACTGGTGAGCAAGTGATGTAATGCATAAATAAATGTCTCCAAATCTGTTGAACGATGAAGAAACAAACTCATTTACATCTTGGATGCTCTGAGGGTGAGCATTTTAATAAATATAGTCTTTTTATATTCTAACCGGTTTTTAAAAACAGGTTAGAATAAGAGATGGTTTTTATGAACACAATATACTATGTTACCTTAAAATGCGGCTGAGGTCCCGTGACCTCCTTCTCTATAATGGGAATGTCAATCACTCCCTCGGATGGAACGGGCACACCTACAGTGACTGCCCTGAACAAAATAAGTGGGATTATGTTTAAATTACTGTATGCTGCTACAAGAGAATCTGTTAGTAATAAGCAAAACAAATATGTTGCACTAGACAACTTAATGGGATGCCACAAATAAATTACCCTTTCAAAACCAATTGCATCCACCTGAAGGCAAGGCAACAAATACAAGTTTTGAAGTTTAACTTACAAGTATTTCCTTTCCACTTTGTGTGATCTGATGAGTGTTTGGACATGTTCAGCGGCTTCCTCCGTTTTAGCCAGGATCAAAACTCCAGTATTTTCTTTTTCCAAGCTATGGCAAAGGTGCAACTGTGCTCCTGCCTGCATGCCATCAGTTATCTTTGCTAGCAAAGGCAGACATTCTACTATGCTGTTTCTGATGCCATCTACATCTATGAGAATAGAACAAGGAAATTAATAAGTTAGTATATCCAAAGACCTGTATTATGCAATCATGTAAGACTCATATTATCAGGTATGTACTTAAATGGACTAAATTAGCCCTCTGGTGGTCTTCTGAAAAGAATGTACTTTTTCTTTTTTACATATTTTACTTTAACGGAATGGTATGAAACTTGTAGTTGTTTTGTTGCATTTACTATATAAACCCAAATGATCAAAAAATGAGAGGATTAACGAGAAGTCAAATACTCACTATGCAGAGGCACACCGTATGGTTTATTTATTGCGATTATGTTTTGGTCTTGATAAAGGATACCCCTGTAAAGAGCTTTTACGAGCACACTGGGATGAACAGATTGCAGTTGCTGAGAGAACTGTTTGAGTTCGTTTACTCTGTTTTGAAGAGGTGACACCGGAACCTTTGGAGAGGAACGAAGAAAGACGGAACCCAAATGGTTGCACATAAAGTCACTTTAGTCAAAACGCAATATACATACAAAAACAAACGTAGCTAACCTCATCTTTGTCATTTGTTTGATTTTCCTTTTCACTCCGGAGTCTGTTCGCGATATCTGCTGCTTTAAGTCCTGCTTTGCCGTTAGAAGCGACGGTCTCAGTCTTTGAAGCTGTGGCATACGCTCTCACGAGCATCGGAAATGTCACCTCACGTGCATATCGCATTTTCACAGATGAATAGTTCAAAGGTAACTCCCTTTCCTCAAATCCGAGCCCCTGATCTTAAATTACTCACTGTCCGATTAAAAAGCTAGTATCACAGGAAAAGCCGAGTAACCAAGAAGACATTAAACACATAAGTAGTGATGTCCGGTTCGCGAACGAATTGTTCTATTTAACCGGATCTTCTTAGTGAACCAGTTCACCAAGTCGAACTGAATCGTTTGAAACGGTTCGCGTCTCCAGTACGCACAAATTACTTAAATTATTCGGTTTATAAACGTGCCTGGGCACGAGCAGAGCAGCTGATAGACTGAGCAAGTAAAATGAACGACAGAGAATCTTCTTCTTCTTCCCTTTTTTTTTTGGCGGATCGCACCAATTTCGCGCATTACCGCCACCTACTGTGAACTCGATCCAGAGATTCTAATTACTACCCCCTCCCCATCCTATCCTCCTCCTCTCATGCTACAGCCAGCGCTGCGTGTTCAGCTCCTCTGGCTTAACATTTTTTTTTTGGACGCACACACACACACACACACAGTCTGGTCAGCTATCCTTGTGGGGGCTCTCCATAGGCGTAATGGTTTATATATACTGTACAGACCGTATATTCTATTGCCCTACACCAACCCTACCCCTAAACCTACCCCTCACAGGAAACTTTCTGCATTTTTAGATTTTCAAAAACTTCATTCTGTACGATTTATAAGCTTTTGTACCCGTGGGGACCACAATTTAGGTCCCCACCGTGACACCTAATGAGTAATAGTCCCCATGAGTCTGTGTGTAGTCAGGTTTAAGTCCCCACCAGGATATATAAACCAGTACACACACACACACACACACACACACACACACACACACACACACACACACACACACACACACACACACATGAACAGAGAATGAACACCAGTTCAAAATAAAAGTCATTGGTCAGCGTGATATTACATTTAGCAAAATCAGACCAATAGATTAGTTCGAGAATCGAATTACATTGGTCACGCTGTACGTTTTTGATTCATTAATTGATTCATTTTCAATTCATGAATCATCCCTCATATCAATTTGTTTAAAAAAAACTTATTGTAGAGTAGACCAAATTCTAAAATATTATTCAGAATATGACAGTTTGGTCAGAAATAGGCTATGAGCTACCTCAAGAAGTATTTTGGACGAACTTAAAATGTATGAATGTCACTGAGATCAAATATTAAACTATCGGCAAACAAATGTAGCTTTTGAGCTATTTGAGCTATTTCTTGTCACCAAAATAGGTCATTTTAGTGCAATTCAAAATAAAAGGCACTGGGCAGAGTGATATTAAATAAATATATTCAATATAAAAATACAAAACAAACAAAAATATGTTCACATATTTCATTCACAGAATGTTTTGATTCACGAAATTCACGAAAAGAGTCGTTTGTTAGAGAATTAGACTATGTGCACATTGTATGTTTCTGACTCACTAAAATGAACCATCATGAGAGCCATAAAAACGTGGAACCGGTTTTAAATACACTTTCAACTCTAGTAAAGACTTCAGATATACTTTGAAATGGACGTTGGACCTAGTTGTCAGTAAATAGTTTGATCAACAGGGTTGCAGCCTTACAAAATGTATATACGAACAACAGCAAATCATTTGTTATCATTCATGCTTTCTTAAAGGGGTCTGAGAAAAAAGAGGGCACATTCCTCCTAAATATTGTCTAGAAATGCATACTGTAGTACTATATGACATATTTAAAAAAAAATGTGTGGTGTGAAGAAGAAAGAGAATCTATGTGTGCAGAGCATGTGTGCATCTTTGAAGGGAGGGCTGCGCGTGAATAATGAATAATGGCTGGGTTTGTGCTCACAGCTGAGTGAATTAAACATGAAGCCAGCACTAGAAAACTTACAGGCATGTTCTCTCTCTTTCTGCCTTTATACAGATACATAATATCAGATTTAAATATTTTTGTCTGTTCTATGCTCCAATGAAATAAAAAGCCCTCAAACACTTTTTTAGAAACACAATCATTTCCTTGAAAACAAATCTCATAAACCTCATGCAAGATCTCAAGTGTGGTCAAGAGAGTGAGTTTGAAATAGTCTTTTGATAGCTGGTTAGGCTGTCTAAATGAACCGCCTGTCCTGCTGGTTGGGGGTCAGCAGCCGCCTGCATGGTATCTCATGACAGCCTGGTGGAATTTGAGCTCCCACAGGCCACTGCTTTATATGCTCCTATCAGGTCCTCGATGTTTGTGAGTGATAATGTGCCATTTCTTTTCACAAATGGAGCGTGGCATAACTGTTTGTAGAAGAGAAGAGACAGACAGATAATGTCCAGACTCTCATTTTCAGTCGGGTACTTCCTTTTATTCTACACTAGAGCTTCATCATTCAGCTCCTCACAGATATCGGATGTTGTCAGCCACTTTATACCCCATAAGGGCCACCAGTGATGGACGAATAATACTAGATAGGTGGTGTGCTGGAACCCATCCCTTGACAGGTGTAATATTAGGCTACACATCTTCCTCAGTTCCGCAGATCAAGTTTCAAACAGGATTCCCCAAGTAAGATGCTTAAGGGGCATTGATGTCATTGTACGGAAGTGAGTTGGACCACACTGCTGGGCACAGATAGCAGTGCCACTGAAGACAATAGGAGGACAACGTGGGAGTTTCAACAGGAATTCGGACTGAGCTGGACCATCGAGGGGATTTGGGATGTCGCACCAGACGGGTATTCATGGTAAGCACCATTACACTGCAGCCCATATAGATTTATCAAATTTTAAATTTAGAATAAATCACTTTATATTTTTTCTTTATCTTCTTTTAGTGAAAGAAAAGCATGCATTTTGAGTTAGAAGTGTAATAGATACTATGAAGATATGCAAAAAGTAAAAAAAAAAAAATATATATATATATAGATTATAAACTTTTGCATCAAAATCTGGCATTGAACTTTTTCACAATTGCATGGAGTGCAAATGTGTTCAACTACAGGCAAAGGGAACTATCTATTTAAAAAGAAAATGTTACAACTAAAAAGAAAAATTTTAAGGAATATTGATAGCTCTGCTTAATTCTGGGTTTTAGCAAACAAACTTTAGGTTCTACAGTATAGTGGTCTATATAGGTAATTTAAGCTTATGGGCGGAAGCGCTGTTCCTCATCCATCTCACCTGCATCTACATCATTTATGAGTCCTGATGCCCTGTTACCATGGTGAGGCCAAGAATGAGGCACAGGCCGCAGTGTGGAAGCAGTGTAAAATTTCCTTTGTTTCAGTCAATTTTCTTGGTCTTGTTATAATTTATAACATGAAATACTAGGCCTATGTAATGGGGTCGTCTCTCGCTATCTTATGATGATTAAAGGTTTGTGGCATAAACTAATTCTTAGGCTTACTCACTGTATCCTGTCTCTGTTGTATTGTCATATGTTGTATACTTCTCTACTGAAACCAGCAACTCCCGACTTGAGGGAGTTCCTCGTGAAGGCGAGGAGGGGCGCTGTCAGAGTGGTGAAGATTGTTATAAGGAGCGGTGAGTAGGAGCATTTGTTTGTGAGACCATCTGTATATGTAGTATAATATTAGTATTTCAATACCCACAGCATGGCTTTGTTTGAGCACAAATTTGATGGTGCTTTTGATTAGTTTACTGCTATTTACCCTTTCCAATTAATGAATCAGGCCTCACATCAATTTGTAATAACATAATACCTACTGTAGAGTAAACCAAGTTCTAAACTATTACTTAGAAGATCACATATTAGTCATATCACTTAGAAAAGTATTTGGACACTCAAGTCATACTTAAATATTACATTTCTGAGTCAAAAAAGAGCGGCACTTGATTGTATTCAATGTAAACTTGTAGTGTAATTCAAATCTTAGAATTATGTTTTTAAAATGATAATATTAATGAAATAAATAGCCACTTAAGTGTATTTAAAGTGAGTACACTTTTAGGACCATGTTTCGGAACACTCTTAGGTACACTTTTAAAAAGTGCATGTAATGTCAAATTAAAAGTATCTCTTGAAAGTCTCTTGAAATGTGTCATGCTTTCAGTATTCTGATGTGTTGACTAACATCGTAAAGCACATGTAAAGTGGACAACTTGATTAAAAATGTACTTGTAGTGTGCCTACAATTAAAAAAAAAATTGTGAAATTACATGGAAAGATGTACTTAGTCCTACTCAAAAGGCAATCTGAAGTTCAACTAATTGCATTTAATTTAAATGTAAATTATAATACATTTCATGAAGTGCAGTTAACATGCAATTAAGTGTCCGGAAACAGTACATTCAGTTCACAAAGAATGTTATTTATTTTTTTAAGTATATTTTATTTAAGTGTACTTAATCATAGGGGTACCACTTAGGTTCACGTGGGTGTTCATCATTTAGATGTTGTTTTATCATTTAAAACCTAACAAACATATAGATGTTTTGCTTAAAAGTGTGCTTTTGCTATCTTGTAAAAGAAATTACACTTGTTTTGATGTTTTGCCATGTAAGGCTACATATGTTTACTTTAGCAAATATATTTCAGTCATTTGTTGGCTCTAAAGAATGTCACGTAAATGTTGAGATAAACTGGACTGTGGAATGTTATCCATGCAGTGCTAGTGTATGATAACATGGCACCGTGCTGTTTTTGGACCCAGAGTGATAGTCAGTGCATTTATCTGGGGCTACTGCAAGTAGTCAGTGTGTGTGTTATGAGGTGTGTATGTGTGTGTATCTGTCTGTGTGTGCTTCAGAACAGCTGGTGTTGGGAGAGTACAGAGGGGTGTCTCAGACCTGGGATCAGGACTATGACTCATGTGTCCTGCCCATGCTGGACGGTCTGGAACCCTGTTATATCCTTTACCGCCTCGACTCACAGAACCAGCTGGGATATGAGTGGCTGTTTATCTCCTGGTCGCCAGACCAGTCACCAGTAAGTAGGAAACACATGATAAAGTTGAATGTGTATGCTCAATTCAAACTCTCACCCTCATACTCTATAAATAATGTTCTCTTTAACCCCTTTGGCTGAAAGTACTGTCAGTTACTCTTCTGTGTGACCATACCCATTCATTCCGCACTACACAGGTGAGGTTAAAGATGGTGTACGCTGCTACCCGTGCCACACTGAAAAAAGAGTTTGGAGGAAGTCACCTGAAAGATGAACTGTTTGGAACAGTCCA